AAACACTAGAGTGAGGATCTTGAAGTTGAAAACTCCGACTGATAAACTCCAATTGAGAGTTAAAAATAATATATAATAATCCTTGTATTTGATATAGCGCCTTGTCAGGTCTTCGAGACGGTACACTATATCCTGTGAAGTGCTTTGAGACATCTCAACAATGTGATATGATATATCAATTGAAAGGATTATTACTATTATGTTTCGCCCACAAAATACACAATGAATCCACTCTACAGTATATTCTGTGAAGCAATTTGAGACATCTCAACGACATGATAAGGCACTATATCAAATGCAAGGATTATTATTATGATGTCGATGTTGTTCCCCCTCAAATGTGTCACCAAGGAAGAGTTAAATTAACTTTTCAGAATCCAAGAGAGACGGACACTGGAATAATCCTGACTCCTCTTCTCTAAACCTACCTGTTCAGTTGCGGATATTTTCCTGATATTATGGTAAAACACAAATGAGTAAAAAGGATCCCTTTCATCCACAGGGCTCGATTCACATTTATTCTGATCATTAGCGTTCTCTCCGCGTGGGTGAACGAATTTTGGATAAAAGGTTAGCAGGGTAATGGGAAAGGACACCTTTCTGCTTGAGCAGTATTTTGTAAGTGCTTGCTTAGTTCCACTGACTTAACCGGTCCCTTACTTGAAGATTAGTTTTGCAGCAGCTGTGAAACTGCTGAAATATTCATCCAGTCACAGATCTGGCATTGTCGAAGAGGAAGGTCTTCAGGCACGACCTGAAGTTGGGGCGGGAGGTGGCAAGGTGGAGGGATAGAGGAAGAGTGTTCCAGAGTTTTGGGGCATAGTGGCTGAAAACAAACACAGAAGTTTAGGAAAAAACCCGGCCTCAAGGTGCTTGCTTCATGAATCTTTTTGTTCGATTTCCAAGCTTCAGGTGGAGTCACACAGGTTACACCTCGCATCATTTTTCGGTTCAGCTCTACAGAATATAAATACGTCCAGTTGTAACATACTGAAACCCAGAGCACTCGTAGAGGTCAGAGCACTCGCCTCGCAGGAGTGCACTCAGGTTCGCTCCCGGGCACGGCGAAACGTTAGGCAAGTTTCCTTACTCCACACACACACACACACACACGCCTCTGTTTACCCAGCAGTAAGTAGGAACCCGGTTGTTAGTCGATTGGCGGATTGCTTTTTCAAGGGTAATAATCCATTCCAAAAAAAAAATGTGGTCACTCAATCCATGACTGTTTGTGGGACACTGCTGTGTGCAATTGGCTGCCGCAATTTGCCCACAAAATATACAGTCAATTCACTTTACAGTATATTCTGTGAAGCGCTTGGAAGAGTGATAAGTCTTATCAAATGCAACGATTATTATTATTATTGCTCCAGAAAACATGGACTAACTTTCAGGCTAGCCTGCCTGCATGGGATGTATTTGCTGGAGGTATGAGTTCCATTCAACAGATGGAAAAAAAACTGACTGGTCTAGTGCAGCCCTGCAGAATAATAATAATACTCCTCGTATTTGATATAGCTCCTTATCACGTCTTCCGAGACGTCTCAAAGTGCTTCACAGAATGTAAAGGTAAACAGGCGTGTGTTTGGAGTGAGGAAACTTGCCTAACATTTTGCCCCAACCCGAGAATCAAACCCAGGTCCTCTTGCTTGCGAGGCAAGTGCTCTAACCAATACGCTACAGAATTCCACATGCAGTGCAGTCAGTCGTGCTCAGTGCAGTGAGTGCCTGCAACGCCGCCCAAGTAATGCTGCGACGTTGGTTGATGAAGAAGAACAACCCTAAAAAGGAAAAGCTACGGGGCAGAAAACGAAGCTTGTTTACTGAAGTTTGATGACTTAATCATGCGATCAATACCATTCGCAGCACTGGAGAAAAGAGCAGCGAAGAACGCTGAAAAATGCATGAGCTTGCGGCAGGACTGGGAATAGAAAATTAAAACCTTCACAGCTACACTGCTCCAATATCGTCGAGAAAATTGAAGCGCAGAATTTCCTTTCCCCCGAAAACCCCAGCCCTTTAATTAAACTCCTGTTTGTTTGGCTTCACCTTTTAATTAAAAGAAGATTTGCTAACCTTTCCCCGCTAATGACTGACATGACGAGCCATAAAGTCGGTGTAATGTGTACGAAATGAAATGGTGACTGCTCCCGTTGAGGGCAGAGTCAGGAGAAACGACAGAGAGAGAGAGGGAGAGGAGGAAAGAATAGAGGAATTAATATAAGAGGACAAAACAGTGTTTCCAGCTTGCTTCCTGCGATCCGATTCACAACTCCTGTAACTCTGTGGTTAGAGCACTCGCCTCGCAATCCAGAAGACCTGGGTTTGAATCCTGCGTGGGCTGAAACGTTCAGCAAGTTTCCTTACTCTACACTCCTCTGTTTACCTAGCAGTAAGTAGGAACCAGGTTGTTAGCTGATTGTCAGATCGCTTTTCCAAGGATAACAGTCCCTTAAAAAAATAACATTTTATAATAATTTGGTCACTCAATCCATGACTGTTTGTAGGACACTGCTGTGTGCAATTGGCTGCTGCGTTTCGCCCACAAATTATACAGTCAATTCACTTTAGTATATTCTCTGAAACACTTCTCGAAGACGTGATATTCATCAAATACCCTTAAGGATGTTTGTTATCATTATAACTCTGCACCTTATCGCTTGATGAACATCCTCAGATTCCTGAACTGAGGAAGTGAACCAGCTTCTCACTTGTGGAGTCCTGCAGCTCAGTGGATAGAGCACTCGCTTTGCAAGCGAGAGACCTGGGTTCGATTCCCAGCAGGTCGAAACCTTGGGTAAGTTTCCTTACTCCGCACGCCTGATAATATGCAAGGATTATTATTATTATTAATGTAGTGGTTTGACCATATTTCATTAAGTGTGTTGGATACTAATTAAAAAATAAAGACCAATTGACTAGGCCCAATGGAAAGAGATTGGGAGGGAGAGAAAGCAGGAAGAACTGAGTAGAGGCTACTTGGTGTGACTGTTGGATTTTGGAGGACCGGAGACCTAAAATAAAAGAGTGTTCTATACATTGTTTGTTGAGAACATAACAAAGTGTGGTAGGCGAGCTAAAAAAAATACTATTCCATCGCACACTACGCTTCAAAAACTACAATCTAAATCCTTNAAAAACAAAGTTCCTCTCCCACTCCCCCCAAAAACGGGAGAGCAAGGAAACTTGCCTAAGGTTTTGCCCCGCCTGGGAATCGAACCTGGGGCTTCTCGCTTGCAAGGCGAGCGCTCTAACCAATACGCTACAGGACTTTGCAAGGTTATACAAGGATCTTGAGCAGGAACCTGCAAACACACAATTAAATGATGGGGTCATTGGCATTTAATTGTACTCATGCTGCCTGAAACGACTTGCTGAGATCCTCTTAGTTTGATCAATCGGATTTAATGCCTTTTGCATGTATTCTCCCATTACCTGCGAGTCAAGAGTAAATGAACATGTAGTTAAACCTTCCCTTGAACCATTTAAGAGGCAGATTATTATAGGAACAGGGGCAGAGGGTGCAGATTGTTACCTTGAGGGATTGATCGGATGGTCGGTTTAAAACTCTCTAGTCCACGCTTCGTTTGGAAGGCAGTGGATGGCTGGGACTCTGCTATACTCCACAACCACACAAGGCAGAATGCCACCACTAAGGGCACAAGCTCTTCAAAGCCATTACATTCATTGCCCACGCCCCCTATGACGTGCCAGAGATGAGTTAATTGTCGACCCCCAGACCCCAGAGACGGTGAAGCTGCAGTCAGTAACCGCCCCCCCCCACCCAATGACTGGAACATGCCAGTACAGATCAGACCTTACACATTCAATTCCTTTAACATTCATGTAAAGGAACCACTAGAAACTGGTGCGAGTGGTACATAGAGCAGGTGTCAAGAGTGCAGAGATACAGCCGTCACGTTTAACTGGAGGCTCGCAGGTCCCAGCCCATTACAGCAATGTTTATACACAACTGGTGAACCACAACCACACTGCGTGCAATCAAGCTTTCACCTCCCAGGACGAGGACGGACTCCTATGTGGGGAGAGTATTTGCATGAACTGACTGTGCGTTTGTGCAGAAGCTGTGTGTGTTTGTGTGTGTGTGTGTATGGTGTGTGTATCACTCCCACCCTCACTCGCCTCCACTGGCTCCCCATCCCCCAGAGGATCGATTTCAAGATCCTCATCCTCACCTACAAGGCCATTCACGGCCTCGCTCCCTCCTACCTCTCTGACCTACTATCCCCCTACCTACCCGCTCGTACCCTCCGTTCCTCTGGCTCCGGTCTGCTCCACATCCCCCGCCCCAACCGCCCTACCATCGGTGGTCGGGCCTTCAGCCTCTCAGCCCCGAGGCTCTGGAACTCTATCCGCCAGTGCCTTCGCCGCTTCCTCCCTTTCCTCCTTCAAGTCCGGTCTCAAGACCTTTCTCTTTGACGGTGCCTTCAGCTCCCCTCTCGACTCTCTACCCCCTCCTCGCTCCCTCCCTTCCCTCCCTCACCCTGACCATTTCCCCCCAATGCTCGGGTCCTGACCCAACTGTACAGCGCCTTGGGACGTCCTCCCGACGTGAAAGGCGCTCTATAAATGGAATCTTGTTGTTGTTGTTGTTGTGTGTGTGTGTGTGTGGAGGAACGACCTCAGCGTTATGTGCATCAACGTACAGCACATGTACTTTCACATCAGGTGAATTAATGCCGGTGTACTCTGAACAGAACAATAAGGCAGCTTTAGCTGTGCTGGGCTTTAGTTGTCTGGTCTGACATTTAAGATGATTTAGTTTCGAGCCTATCTGGCTTAACTGCTATTTATATAATACATAATAATAATAATAATCCTTGCATTTGATATAGCGCCTTATCACGTCTACGAGACGTCTCCCGTGTCTGCGCAACAGGAGTAGAATTCTCAGTGCTCAGTTGTGCCACACCACAATCACAGTTCAACTCTTGCACCAATGCCAAGAGTTTGCGCATCAAAAACAACAGAGGTGCAGGTAAATTTAAGACTTACTCTTTATTTATGGAAGTACCACAGGACCTGGGGTGAATGCTCAATTAATGAGCTGTGTGACTCTCTCTCTCTCTGTGTGGACAGAGTATTCCACTCTATGAGGCTGTGAAACAAAGCCAGTGCAGAGCAGGCATCCCGCAGCAAACCAGAGAAATGCTGGGCAATAACGGTACAGCAGATCGAGATGCGTTTTCATCTTCCTTTGAAGATGGAAGATCTTCTCTGTATGACCTGTGCTATTCCCGGCATCGCCTGAGATTGTGAAGGCAGAACAGCACACGTCATACAGAGCTCTGCGAGTTCCCCCTGCCTCTCTCTCTATTGCTCTCCCTTTCGCCTGGGACATGCAACAACAAGCATGACCCTCCACTCCCTCCCTCCCTCGTATCTGGGATGGTTAAAGAGCCTGAGAAGACCTAAGTCCAAACGCTGGCCTGAGCTGGAACCATGACCTCGGAGTCTGTGGGGGACAGACTGTCCACTAAACCACTGTAGAGAGATGATCTGTTTGGGATCAAAGTGATGCAGAAGGGCAGGGAATGGAGGGGAAGAAACTGACCGGTTCAGCAAGCGGACGGAGAGCGGGGTCCCTGAGTTTACACATCAAAAGCTCCGCTCTGTCAGGAGAGGGGGTTCATCCCAACGGCTGCTTCCACACCCACCAACCCTCTCCACAGGATTCGGCACAGAGCATCAACCTCACAAGCCAAGAGGGCGAGTGACAGGTGATGGAAGAGGAAATACACGACAAAAATACAGCTATAAACATAAGGCAGCAGAGTACTTTTTAAGAGAATATATAAAAAGCGACACTTGGAACTTAAAGGGGACATTCAGACGGGAGAACATTCCCCCAATCAGACCTGCAGCATGGCCACCTTTACTCCTGCGAGGCACTTTCTAACAATAACACGTCTGGGAATAGTTTTTCCTCCCGCAAATTAGAGTCCTTCTCGCGCTGAATGCACGGGTGCTCACGGCACGGGCTGCCCGCCGGGTGTCACCCACACCGGGATGCGACGAGCTCAGTCGCGCAGGTGCATCAGTCGGTCGGTGGGTGGGCTGATCACTGCCGGCAGGTATCGTGGAAGGCCTCGAGGGTGCGGAAGTCTCTCCACGTGGGAGGCAGCCCGTCCTGCAGGAATCTGCCACAGCGCTGACACGGAGCCTGGAATAACTTGATGTAACTTCGGAGCCAGGTCTGTGGAGCCAAGCAAATCAGACACTCTCACACACTCTGATTTGAAACTGAAGTTGCTCAAGAGTTTAAAGCATAGAACGTTTGTTAGTCGATTGTTTGATCGCTTTCCGGTGGTAACAAACCCTCAGAGAAAAAAAAGTTGGTCACTCACTGCATGACTGTTTGTGGGATGCTGCTAATCATATTATTATTATCATAAAAATTTTACGCTGCATTGTTCAGCCTAATGTCTATGATTTTATGCCAGTCAGATAAACTGCAGCTCAATGCAGATTCCTAGGCGTGGATTCAAATAATAATAATAATAATGCTTGCAGTTGATATCGCGCCTTATCAAGTCGTCGAGACGTCTCAAAGCACTTCACAGAGTACACTGTAAAGTGAATTGACTGTATATTTTGTGGCTGAAACGCAGCAGCCAATTGCGCAAAGCAGTGTCCCAGACATGTCGTGATAGTATACAATACATTATCATTGTTACACCAGCTAGACACAGGAAACAAGCGAAAAAAAAAATTGGTTTGCTCTGCGGTACCAATATGGAAGATCGGAATCGAACCAGCCCTCTGTGCCAGTCTCTAGTCCTGTTTCTGAGTCAGGCCGGTCCGCAGTATTCCAGGGCACTGCTGATGACAGCATAGCTCAGCCTGGTTCATCGGCAGGACCTGGAAGGGCTGGGAATCCTCCCACTTAGCTCCTGTTAACCCAAAAGCCCTAATGGGGAGGGTGGTCCTAGCTGGACAAGCAGTAGGAAAGGTTGTCAGACAGCACTATCAATGCGATCACTGTCTGCAGTGTGCAAGGAGCACGTCCTCCCTAACAAGGACAAGGCCAGCACGCTGCGAACACGCACACATCACCCGCGTGTCACACTTCAGAGGGACTCACTCTTTATTGCTTGTAAATCCATCTTTAATTGTGTGTTATCCGTGAGACTCGCAGGCCCAACAGTTGCAGACTGAAAACCTTATTAATAAGCGAGGCAAAGCCTCAGTAGCGAGAGGCAGCGAGGAGCTTGGTGGCAGAAAAGATCCCGTCAGTGGATGAGAGCGTCACTGCCAGCCTCAGGGAATGTGGCCTTTTAATCTCGCAGATTACGATGATATTAAATCAGATGCAACTAAAATTAAAACTGCGCAGAGCAAATTGCTTTTTCTTTTCTAGGAAACGGCTGAAATTAAACCCAACTTTAACGGCTCTGCCAAAGTGCGTAACGGAGGAGTGAGTTTAAGTGGGGGGTGGGGTGGAAATCTGCAGTGCTGCTCTCAATAACATTCGGCAATACAATCGCAGAAACAGGCACGTGGATCAGCCACACATTGGACACAGCATGCGCTCAGCCCACGATGTGCACGCTTAATCCTCTCTGCTGCCTCCTGACACCGCCCCCCCCAATGCAAGAGCATGCAAGCTCAGGGCATCACCCTGCACAGCGAATGATCATGGTGGTCCTCAGCTCTCAAAGACATCTCATAGGCTTTGGTGGGTGGTGGGGGGGGAGGTCAAGCATCAAGTGCTGGGGTGGTTGGTTGAACTCACACCTTCCCATTCAAGATTGAGGTGGATAGATGTTTGTTAGGGTATTAGGGTAGGTCAGGGTATTAAGGGATACGGGGCAAGGGAGGGTAATTGGGCTTGAGGCGCAGATCAGTCATGATCTTATAGAAGGGTGGAACAGGCTCGAGGGCCTGAATCGCCTATTCCTGTTCCTATATTTCTAAGCCACGCAAATGCTGGAGTTATTCCGAATGGGAGCCAGGCCCAAGGAAAACCACTGAGGGATGAGGGAAGAGAGTTGGAAGGTGGAATCAATCAAAAGGAGTGACTTCGGAAAAACACACACGACCACTGCCTCCTGCCCTGAAGCTTTCAAGTTTCCATGTTTTTCCGCACTTCACTCTGTACAGCCCCTCACTCTGTACAGCCCCTCATTCTGCACAGCCCCTCACTCTGTACAGCCCCTCACTCTGCACAGCCCCTCACTCTGTACAGCCCCTCACTCTGTACAGCTCCTCACTCTGTACAGCCCCTCATTCTGCACAGCCCCTCACTCTGTACAGCTCCTCACTCTGTACAGCCCCTCACTCTGTACAGCCCCTCATTCTGTACAGCCCCTCACTCTGTACAGCCCCTCATTCTGCACAGCCCCTCACTCTGTACAGCTCCTCACTCTGTACAGCCCCTCACTCTGTACAGCCCCTCACTCTGTACAGCCCCTCACTCTGTACAGCCCCTCACTCTGCACAGCCCCTCACTCTGGACAGCCCCTCACTCTGTACAGTACAGTCCCTCACTCACCATGAAAGACCTGACCACCACGTCCGGCATCTGGGGCAGCTGGTAGTGTAGCAGGGCCGTGGTGGCGTGATCCGTCACCTGCGGAGAGAACGGCGGCAGTCAACAACAACAACAACAAATTACACTTGTATCGCGCCCTTCAGGTCGGAATGACATCCCAGGGCGCTGGACAGTCAGGGGGTTTCGGACCCGAGCTGGGAGTTGCGGTTAGGAGGGGTGGAGGGCAGAGGGTGTGGGGGTGGGGGCGAGTTTCAATCAGGCGTAATGCACGGCTGCCATCATGGGACAGAATGCACGGCTGCTAAACGATCGCCTCCAATCTCGAGCAGCACTCTCCCAGCTCGTACTTTAGTTTCATTACGTTTCCCAATCTCTTCTTGCACTGTTGTCTTACAACGTTTCTCAAACGAGCTTGCTGTTAGCTATAATAAAAATCATAATAATCTTTGCATTTAATATAGCGCCTGAGCACGTCGTTGAGACCTCTCAAAGCGCTTCACAGGACGTACTGTAGAGTGGATTGACTGCGTATTTCGTGGGCGAAACGCAGCAGCCAATTGCGCACAGCAACATCCCACAAACAGTCGTGGATTGAGTGATCGAATTGAAAGAGTAAAATGGGGGAAGAAAAGACCAAACCAAACATTGCCCTAAAATCTTTCTCAAACGTGTTCTGCTGGTGGCTGTGTGTAAAAGGGACTGGGCCCGCAACAACAACAACAACAAGATTACATTTGTATAGCGCCTTTCACGTCGGGAGGAAGTCCCAAGGTGTTGGACAGAGTGCAGCATTTCAGACCTGAGCTGGGGGTTGGGGGGGTAAGGGAGGGGAGGGGAAGGGGGGAGGCCGATGGCATGGTCGAAGAGGAGGGTCTTGAGGCGGGACTTGAAGGAGGCTAAGGAGGGGGTGAGTCTAGGAACAACAGCAATTTGCATTTATATAACGCCCTTCACGCGGGGTAGTGTCCTGGAGCGCTAGGAAGGGCTAAAGTCTGTAGAGCTGCACAGTTGGGAGAGCTCCCAGCTTCAGGAGCGCTGGGAACAGGTGGAGGAGAGGTCACTACAGATCCCAGTGTGGGCGCGGATGCCAGAAGGTTCCATTTTACTTTTTTTTCCAATCCTCACAATTTGTTTTTTTATATTATGCCAAACGGCCTTTGTAAACGTCTCTCTGATCTCGTGCTTATAGATCTGCGCAAGAGAGAGAGAGAGAGAGAGAGAGAGAAAAAAAATCCCTTGAAAAGAAACAAAACTCTTGCCTAAAACGAAACAAATGGGGATAGATTCAGCAGCATATGCTGGCTGGCTGTAATTCGCAGTTAATGAGACTCGGCACAACACATGAAAGCGACGGACAGAAGGGAGCACATGACAAAGAAGAGAAGCAGATATATTCTCAAAGAGACGGGGGGAAATGAAGCCACTTCTGAAAGGATCAAACCAGCGGCTGAGAACCGCAGGGATCCAGGCTCCTGATGAGCACAATGAGGAACATGATTTGAGGCTTGGGACAAGCTGGGGGAGCAGAGATGTGACTAACAGCAGCCACTAGCTGGACGGTGATGGCCGATCTTGCCGCTAGTCTCACAGCCAGTGCTCGTCCCTTCACACAGTGTCCCTTGCCGTCCCACATGCACACACACACACACACACACACACCGCGTGGTGCTTTGCCTCCGGCGACACGTGTGCTACACTCACATCAGGTGCCACATGGAGATTTGAGATGCGTTCAGGTCTCTGTCCTTCTAGGAAAGTGTAGTGGTTAGCAAGTGAGAGGACCAGGGTTCGATTCTGGGGTGGGGCAAAACCTTAGGCAAGTTTCCTTACTCCACACGTCTGTTTACCTGGCAGTAAGTAGGAATCTGTTTGTTAGTCGATTGGCGGATCGCTTTCCGGGGGTGGGGGGGGGGTAATAATCCCTCAAAAAAAAAATTGGTCACTCAATCCATGACTGTGCGCAATTGGCTACTGCATTTCGCCCACAAACATACACAGTCAATTCACATCACAGTATATTCTGTGAAGCGCTTTGAGACGTCTCAAGCACGTGATAAGGCGCTACATCAAATACAACGACAAAACAAATTACATTTGCATAGCGCCTTTCACATTGGGAGGACAAATGCAAGGATTATTATTATTATAATTATTATTAATAATTGGTGACTTCCTGCGATACCCTACAGACCTCTGATCAGCCACCATGTACTCACCTTCTGAAAGACCTGATGACTGGACTTAGACCAGATGTCCAGCTATGGAGTAAAGAAAAGACAGTAATTAGATACATTCACAAACCATCCCAACATTGTCCACTATCCGCAGTCTGGGTACATAGAGGCTCTCACCAGCAGGCCAGGTATTGTGAGCGTTGCTGCTCACAAGGGAGGTCCTGTTATCTGCTATCCACCTAATGAGGACTCAAATCTATCTGGGGGAAAGGTAAGTCGAGTCTCCTTGGGGCTGAGTAGGCACAAAAGGTGATGTGCGTAGCATGGAATAAGTTGATGCTACTTGGCAATCTCAATAGACAGGTTCCTGAGCCAAGCTGGTCCACAGTACTCCAAAGTACTGTTGATGACAGACCAGCCCAGCCTGGCTCATCGGCAGGACTTGAAGGAGCAGTCACTGGCAGCAGGGATTGTTCCCATATGGCTTCTGTTAACACTGCAAAATTGTGATGGGTAGGGTGGTCCTAGATGGAAAAGCAGAGGGAAGGTTGCCAGACAGTATTGACGCTTGTTTTACTCCAAACACACACCCTGGGGTCCCCAGGCTCTCGCCAACCTGGGCCTAATACTTTCTGGAATTAGATAAGCAGGGTGTGTAGTTCCAGGGAGGGAGAGAGAGAGTGCGCATTCCATCCCAGATACTGGAAATTTCTATGTGTAAATGCCCACAATACAGTCAATTCACTTTACAGTATATTCTGCAAAGCGCTTTGAGACGTCTCGAAGACGCAATAAGGCGCTATATCAAATGCAAGGATTATTAGAAACGGCATCCATGTGTAGAACTCAGTACGGTATGAATACTCTTAAGCACGGTGATGGGTTTCCGCAAGTGTCAAGACACCCGGCTGACCAAATAAATCTACGTGCTGTCATTGTCTGCACTTCCTGTGTTACAGCTAATTCTCAGAGTCTTTAGCAGAATGTTACAAATATAATGAAACTCATTAGAGGCGTTATAAACATTCATCTGTTCTGCAGCGATGACAAGCCATGGCTCTAGCTGAGGAGTTATTACCAGAAACTCCTGAACTCAGTGCACGAAAGGGATTTAAAATCAACAGAATAATGGAATTAAATAGTAATAATAATAATCCATAGATTTAATGTAGTGCCTTACCCACGTCATTGAGACATCTCAAAGTGCTTCACAATATAAATTCTTTATAGAATATACTGTAAAGCGAATTGACTGTGTATTTTTGTGGGCGAAATGCAGTAGCCAATTGCACACAGCAGTGTCCCACCAACAGTCGTGAATTGAGTGACCAATTTATTATCTATTTAGTTTGAAGGGATTGTTAGCCCCCGGAAAGCGATCCACCAATTGACTAATGACTTACTGCAAGGCAAACAGAGGCGTGTGGAGTAAGGAAACTTGCCTAAGGTTTCACCCCGCCAGGGAATCAAGCCCGGGTCCTCTCGCTTGCGAGGTGAGTGCTCTAACTAATACGCTACAGGACTCCACTCCCTATAATTAAATCCCTTTAAAGCTCATTCAAAATCAGTAATACCCCCCAACAGTCTCAACCACGGCAATCAGAGGCACAGTGCAAATCCAATAATGTATGGAGTTTGTGGGGGAATAGTACAGAAATTGTAAGGCTCTCTCTCTGGCTGAGTATAGGTATTTTTCCACCTTTGTTGGTTGGACACATCAGAGATGCACATCCCAGCACAGCGCAAACCAGCTGGAGAGACAAGAGAGAGAAAACGTAAAAATGTCTTTCAGTTGTAATCAAAGTACAACAAAACAGGTTAAAAGGGTTTAAGAGATCATTCCAAGCTCCTCTCCCTCTCTGCCTGCTAGCCAACGAACCCAAACGTATAAATATTGGAAGAAAGGAGTGCTGAGAGGCCGAGAGGGAGAGAGAGAGAGAGAGAGAGAGAGAGCAGCTGATGTGAGATCAGAAGAAGCTGTTTAGGATGTCTAGTTTGTCAGCTTCTGCCTGACCTGCTCATCTTGTATGAAAAGTACTCTCACACTTTCCAGCAATGAATCCAAAAAAAACCAACAAAATAAATAATGCACCTTCACACGGCATTATCGCTCAACTTTTCACTTTCAATCAAGCCCTGCATTTGTAACAGCAGAAAAAACTGCTGAAAGCACAAACCCAGCACTTTCTAAATCTAAATTAAATCCCAGCCATTTTGCCGCAATTTTTTCCCTCTCCGCCAGCCGGAGTAACGAAGGTTTTTGAAGGTCGTCAGAATGATTTCAAAGGATATAACAAATCAAACCGTTCCCTGCATCTGATATCAAACAGGCCCCCGTGTCAGGACTGATTAAAGAACCCAGATTCAACCCTCCCCCCCTACTCACTCCCCCTCTTCCGAAGATATCCCACTTTGAAGTCTGGAGGATCGGGGATCAGAAATGACCCAGGAGACAGATCTCAACATCTTTGAAGCTTTCCTTTGATAGAATGCCTCTCCCTTTGCTGCTGCTGTTGTTGCTGCTGCTACTCTGGGAGGTGCCTGGCAGCCTTTTTGCTCCCGTTACTGTGTAATTAACAATGTCTTGACGCAACACAGCTCTGGTGGTTTGAGCCGAAGCTCACGAAGGCAGGGCTGAACGTACATCTTTAGCTGTGATAAATTAGCGAGCCGGGTGCACACAACATTGCAGGCACCACCGCAGACAGCGAGGTCATCAACCCTCCCCCCACTCCCCCCCACCCCCAAACAGAGGATATATTTTAATTAATGCATTTGTTAGGTTTAATCTTTAGCTGCTACGGCATATTAATGATCTCTCTATTACTGTGTGTAACCACATTATAGCAAATACAAGAGCCATTTAACCTAATTTGCGATTCAGATGAAGTAAATATATAAACACTGGCACAGTCAGGATCATAAATATTTTATTGCTTCAAGCTGACGTTTGCTCCCCCAACGCTAACCCTGACTTCGCTTTCCCCGGAGAAGGGCTGGTATTTCCAGACCCCTCATGATGCAATTGGTTCACGTGCTTTACTCGGTTCAGAGGGCACAGACAGATTGTCTCTCCTGTGCACTCAAATGAGATGTTTGGAGTCATTTTCAGAATTGCACTTGCGGGTAGACAGCTGCTTGGCTCTGACGCACTGCACAGGTGCAGCAAAAGCTGCAGGGAATGCGGAGCACAAACAGCACCAGAGCTCTAACGTGATAGAGCCATCAACACTGCCATGGGCTTCAGACACGCTGCCTGCCATTCGTTGACTGGCCCCCCAGCGCTGGTCACTGTGAGGAAGTTGTGGGGAAGGCTCTTCCAAAGTGCGCCACCTATTGACTCAGACGAGAACTGCAGTACCAGAATCCTTGCCTTTCACATCGGGGTTATATCTCAAAGCAGTTTAATAAGCTGTTACGGAGACAAAGGTGAGCGATATACCAGCTTACTCCGTCCAAATCCAATTTAGAGGCTATCTGATCAACACACTCAGCTCCAGGACAGAAGGTGGGGATGTTAGCCCACAACCTAGGCTGTCACTCCAGTGTAGTACTGAGCTCTGGTGTGTTGGGAGATGCTGTCCTTTAGATAAGATGTTAAACCAAGGTCCCTTCTGCCTGTTGAAGATACCATGCCACTATTAGAAGACAGGTGTGATCTGGCCAATATTCCTCCAAATAAACTGATCATTCACCTCATGGCTGTTTGTGGGACATTGCTCTGTGCAAATTAGCTGGTGCATTTATCTACAAATATATAGTCACTACACTTGGCAGAATATTATTGTTAAACACTGTGATGTTTCCATATCAGGAATCCACACTAAGCATTCCCAAACACTACCCTGCCTGAAGGGTTACTGTATAAATACAAGTTGCAATTTTAATTATAAGCGCAATATCAAATGCAAGGATTAGTATAAAAATGGAAGTGGTTTTCTGTTATACATATTAGCAATATCAATGGTGAGTTATATGGGTTTAGCTGGTTACGACTCCGGCACTTACCCCCAATGCACACTCCCTAAGCCTTGGCTCATTGCAACCTGCGCCTAACACTTTCCAGAATTAGGTAACATAGGAGCATAGGAACAGGAGGAGGCCATTCAGCCCTTCGAGCCTGTTCCGCCATTTAATTAGATCATGGTACCTCAACTAATCCTTTCAATTAGAATTACCCACTTTCTCCCCATATCCCTTCATACCCTGATCTACCAAAAATCTATCATCCTGCTTACCTGGATACATCCAGATACATCCAGGTAAGTAGGATGCATCCCTCCAGGGAGAGAAAGAGAGAGTGTGCATTACATTTCAACAATCTATCTCTGGAATTTCCATGTGTAGGTGGGATACATGGAATTCTCAGTTTGGTTTGGATATTCTTAGGCACGGAGATGGGTTTTCGCATGTGTCAGACACCTGTCTGACCCCCGCCACAAAAATAGCACCTTTAAATCAGGTGTGTTGTGCTACTTCGAGAATTATAACACTTCCACTCCGCTAGACGTTCAATGAAGAGTTAAACTGAACAATTTAGCCAAATTGTTAATATTAGCATTTGGAAATGACTCATGGCCATGTGTGAGCTGTGCGCAGAGATGAAACTATTCACTGTTTAGCCACTAATTATTATGTACCGAGTGGAAAAAAAAGGATCTGTACAAATTAAGAAAAAACTTCCAAGTAACATTCCTAGTCTGCACTTCAAAGTGTCTGGATGATTTCTGAAGTCGAGACTTAAAACTCCTTTGCACACCTGTGTGTGTGCATGGCTTGCTATACTGTGCCAATGAGAATGATTGTGTGAGTGATTGTGTGAGTGTGGTGTCTGTGAGTAGTGTGTGTGTGTGTGTGTGAGATGGGGTGTGAGTATGAGTATGTGTTCAGGTGTGAGTGAATGAGTGTGTGTGTAAGTGAGTGAGTGTGTGTGAGTATGTTTAGGTGTGTGTGTGAGTGTGTGTGTGAGTTAGTGTGTGTAGGTGTCTGAGTGTGAATGAGTGTATGTGTAAGTGTGTGTGTGAGGGGTGAATGTCGGTGTCAAGGTATGTGAGTGTGTGGAGGGAAATGAGCTGCTGACACACTAAACGACTGGTTTAACGCACCAAGGACTTCAAACTGTGAAGGAGTTTCCGGTCTTTAGTACAATTTCAGGAAACTAACTGAGGCCGTATCCCCAATCCTATCCTTCTGTATTCAAGTCCGTGCCTTTCTGAACACATTGCCTCAAAGACAGAATTGGTAATTGATATAAGTGTCTGATTAACGCAGAAGTCCATCACCCCCGACAACAATCCCACCTTCCCATCGTCCGTCAGCACGTGCTCGTGGTAAGCCTTGATAATGGTCCGGTCGATAAACAGACTCCTCATCACCACAATGGCCTTCAACACCTTCCCAAGGGTCACCTAGAACACACAAAGCAGACGGGCGGACATGAGGAGAGTCGTTCAATTGAACATTTACAGAGCTCCTCTTCCATACCCACTACCCAGAGTTGAGAACCCGGTCCCTCCGCATTGAACAGCAGCTGTCACTGCCCCCACCCCCCGCTCCCCACAGGCACCAGAATACCCCACAGACACGAAACTCACTGTGATGCATCCTTTTCTCTCTCTCTCACACACACAAACACCCCCCCACCACCCCAACCCTCCCTCACTCCCAGCAGCAACAGTGACGTCGCTGCCTCCTAGGTGTGGATTCCAGACACTCGTCACATCCAATGAGGAAGCGATGGCTGCCTGTTCACCTGGGACCAGCTGATACCAAACATCAAGACACCAAGACCATAGTGACTCGCCCTCTCACCCCACTGCATCTATCCAGTTCCACCATCCTGTCATGTCCCAAACTATATACTGTTGGGAATTGGCTGCTGCGTTCCTCCCACCAAATATACAGTCAATTCACTTGACAGTATATCCTGTGAAGCACTTTGAGACATCTCGAAGACGTGATGAGGCCCTATTTCAAATGCAAGTATTATTATTACTTCTGTATCCCAAGACCTTATTTCCTAACAGAAGACTATCTAATTTGTACTAAACCAAATCACTCATTTACTGAGCGAGCAGTCTCGCTCGGAGCCAAGCAACACTGGCATTCAGCATGGTCCATCTACTGAAAGCAGTGGCGGAGAAAAAACCTCTAAGCTGTCAACACACTGAGCTGCGTGCAGTGTATTGCAGAGCGCTCCATACATCAGCCGTGTGAAGTGTGGCTGCTGGCTATAATGAGCTTTTAATCCCAGAGAACACTTTGTAAAGTTACTCACTCTATCAGGTCGCTTGGCCCCCGGGCTACAATAATTATAGAGTTATGTGAATGTTCGACTGCATATATATGTAACCAATCTCATTGCCACCGTCTATAATTAATCAAGGTGTCTAATGAGTTCTTTCAGCAGGAGAAAAATGTCTGGGTAATGACATCTCGTGTGCAGACCGTGACTACAGCTCAGAACCCAGGAAAGCAATGCATTTAACTCTAACTAGGCTGGGGGTGGGTGGGTGGGTTTGGGGATGGGAGGAAATGCGCGAAACGGGAGCCTATTTAAAAGAAGTGATTGATTTCTTAATCGTACAACCAACACAATAGAATATTAAGACTGTATATAACACACTCTTTTCCTGCACTAACTCACTCACTAACGATTTCCTCGCACCATTATGTTCACTGCGATTCAGACACTGACTCGGATTTCGTGACAGACTGTTAAAGCCGTCAGACTGGACTCAATGTCAGTCTAAACACTGCATCTGTGAGTTAGGTTTTCCTAGAAAGCCTAAAGGATTACAGTTGAGTCAAAATACAGGAACCGACTTTTGATGTTAATATGACTCCAATAAATCTGGACTTTTTTAGGATTACCTAATGATAAATGGGATTGAATTTTAGGTTTATTAAAATGCACTTTGCTGGAGAAATTTTAACTGTTTGAACGGACTTCTGAAATCCTTCAAAGAAATCTCAATCTGCAGGGTACCGGGATGAGGAGGGATCCGGAATTGGGGATCAAAGGAGCACCGTGCATTCGGGAGCAGGAATAGAAGGGAATCGAACACATTCACGGCAGAGGAAAACGATGCTGATTGACTAATATTACATTCAAATTTAGATAGGAAACGTAATTCCATTCCTTGGAGAGCAGAGACTGAGTTAACGTCAGAGACAAGTCGGTTCCTGAGTGTTCCCAGCCACTTCTGTTTTTATTTGGATTTCCAGCATCTGCAGTATTTTGCCTTTTGTTCCATTCCTTGCTTGGCTGTGTGTTAAGGGCATAGGAGCACTTCCCTCCTGCTCTTATCCGAATACTATCCCACAAGCACAGCTGTTCCTACATCTCAGTGAGTGGGGCTCAGTGACCACAGACAGAGCCTAATCCTGCTCTCAATAGTGCTCTACAGACTCAGCAGACTCCAGCAACAATGGCAGATCTGGAGGTCGGGGACGCTACTCTGTGTGAGGGGCGCTTATATAAATGCAAGTTGTTGTTGTTAGAGGTGCCTTTGTACAGTGTAGAGTTGGCAGAACAAGGTGATGACCTTGAACGTACACAATCTGAGGAACATGAGCAAGGACTGTGCAGCATTCTTTGAAGGTGGCAGGACAGGTAGATAAAGCTGTTAAAAAGCATACGGGATACTAGGCTTTATAAATAGGAGCATAGAATACAAAAGTCAGGAAGTTATCGTGATCCTTTATAAAATACTGGTTAGGCCTCAGCTAGAGATTGTGTTCAGTTCTGGGCACCACAGATGTCAAGGCATTGGAGAGGGTGCAAAGGAGATTTACCAGGATGGTACCAGGAACGAAGGAGGCGAGAGAAGGAGAGGCAAGAAAAGCGAGGATTATTCTCCTTGGAGCAGAGAAGGTTAAGAGGAGACTTAATAGAAGTTTTTCAAAATTAAAGATTCGATAGGGTGAACAAGGTGAAACTATTTCCACTGGTGGGTGGGTCGGTAACTCGAGGCCACCGATTTAAAATAGTTGTTGAAAGAAACAGAGGGGAGGTGAGGAGAATGTTTTTTGACAATGAGTTGTTTGGATCTGGAATGCATTGCTTGAAAAGGTGGTGGAAGCCGATTCGATAACAACTTTTAAGAGAGAAGTAGATAATTATTTGGGGAGGACAAGTTTGCAGGGCTGTGGAGAGAGAGTGGGGGAGGGCGATTGATTTGGATTGTTCTTTTCAAAGAGCCGACACAGACACGATGGGCCGAATGACATTTTTCCATGCTGTATAATTCTATGATTCTATATTCCACCCACCGACAAATTAAGATGTCCATTTAGTAGAAAACAAGAACACCAGAGCGTGCCAATGGCACAGGGAGGAGAGGTGAGGCACGCCGGCTTGGCCCTCGAGTCCCAATCCATCACTCAATCACGATCCCAATCAGCGCATTGGGAATTTGCTAATGGAACTATTTCCTTGGCACCATTTCCTTCAGTTGGGACATCGGTAAAAAGGGCAAACAGTCTTAGGATATTTAGCAAAAACAGGGAAGAGATGGGAAGGGTGTCAGCCTGTCTCAGCACTCTGGCCTTAAGAATCAGAAGGTTGTGGGTTCAGGCCCCATGTCGGGACTTCAAGCTTTGAGCCTATTCTAATGCAGTGCCGATCGTTGGAAATGCCATCCTTTGGAGGAGACATTAAACTGTTGACAACTGCTGCAGGTCGTGCAGAAGGGTTGCCCTAGAAACGAGACACTTTCAACACAGAAGACCATTCAACCCATCATGTCTGTCCCACTGCTCGCTTTATTATTCATCCCACTTTCCCACTCATTTGCAAGGGCTTTGCTGTGTGCAAATTGGTCACTGCGTCCGCCTACAAAATACATGGTCATTGCATTTCACAGTAAATGGTGTAAAGTGCTTTGAAACACTGACAGCGTGGTGAGGCGCTGTATCAAATGCAAGGATTATCGTGCTTAATGTCTTCACTCAGAGCATTATGAGGGTGTGGAAATCACCAAAAGTGAAGCTCTGGAAGCTCAATAGAACCATTGAAAGGGGAACTGAGGGGCACCAGAGCAGTAATAAAAAAAAACAAGAACGAACATGGGGGAAAGAGTTAGAAAGTGGGATGAATAATAAAGGGAATAATGGCATGGACACGATGGGTTGAATGGTTCTCGTGTGTTGAAAGTGTCTGTTTCTAGGGCAGACCCTCTGCACAGCCCGCAGCGGCTGTCAAATCAGATCTGATGCTGAAAGTGGCGTCAGGGACAATCAGCCAGCCGCCAATCTTGCCAGGAAGGCGATCAGAGTCAGGCTGACTGACTGACTGATTGACTGACTGAAAGCTTCTAGTGCTGGCCGTGTACCTTGGGAAGAATATGTTAAAGCCACATTTAGAGCTGGCATGGCTATTTAGCTTTGCGTTTGATCAGAAAGGACGGGAGCTTCAAGGAGCTCGAGCAATCTCAGTGCAATTACACGCGAGATGGTGTGACATGCCACCTCTCTCTCTCTCTCTCTCTGTCTGTCCCTTGAGTTTCCACCCTCTGCCTGGGCCAACCTATTGAATAATGCTGCCCTTTCATTTTTTCTCTCTCTCTCTTCTCCCAGTCGATACAGATCTCAGGTTGTGGACAGCGTTATTGCCCCCTGTGCAGAGTTAGCTCGTCTCTAGTCTCGGTATTAGAGTCACTCCCTGCCTAGGTTCCCTGCTCCTGTCTGTTGTGGGAAAGTGTAAAGGATATCTAACTCAGCCAACACTGAAATCGGCCCCTCTCCTCCATGGTCAAATAAACTGAGACTGTGGAAGTGGTCACTCAATCCCACGACTGTTTGTGGGACACTGCTGTGCGTAATTTTGCCCCCAAAATACACAATCCATCCACTCTACAGTATATTCTGTGAAGCGCTTTGAGACGTCTCACCGATGTGATAAGGTGCCAAATCAAATGCAAGGATTATTATAATTTTTATCAAGTGCTCTTGTCCAAGTTAGTGATTCCGAGAGAGAAGAGAACATGTTGAGGGGGTGGAGCAGGGTGGGCGGGGAAACAGGGGGAAATTCTCTGACCCAGAAGCCAAACTCAGTTAAAACAGTTTGAAATCAATTGTGAAAATAATCCAGTCACATCAACAGCAACAGCTGGAGCCACATCGCAGAGCCACAAAGTCAGGCTCTCGGAGAACGCATTCTGTGAGTGACGCCAGAGATTTTGCACAAATTAGGTCACATCTATTATTCAGTGTCTCAGTATTTCCTCCACTTGCCTTAAGCACGGCAAATTCACCAACCCACCCCGCCTTGCCCGGTTCCCCAGCCCTGCGTCTGCCCATTGTCTCTCCATTCACCACCTAACTCCCAGTCTACAGGTTCCAGCACTGGTTCCAAGCTATGTCAACCCATCACCCCCATCCTCACCAGTTTCCACCTCCCTCAGAGGATTAAGTTTAAAATCCTCGTTGTCTTTTTTAAAGCCTTCCTCTCAGCGGGATTTGGCCTGCTCCATGTCCCCAGCCTTGCCTGCTTCACCATTGGCAATGGGGCGGACCTTCAGCTTTTCTGCCCCCACTCTCTAGAGGAGCCCCTCTGCCTCACCCCCTCCATTGCCTCCCTCAAGATCTTCCACTTTGTGCCTTCGGCCACCCTCCCAACCCACCCTCCAACCCTCTTGATTCGAAACCCCAGCTCGGGCACAAACTCTTGACTGTTCAGCGCCTTGGAACTTCCTTCCGACGTAAATGTGGTTTGTTGTTGTTGGTTTGTGCCTGGTTAACTGATTCCAGAGGCTACCATGGGGGTGATCAACCTTCCCTGGATAGCGATGCAGAAAACAGCTAAAGAGATCCCGCTCACTATTCCTTTCCTGGGACAGCAGGCGAGGACGGGGCACGTGAAGATGGGAAGGGAAAGGTGTTAACCTTACCAGAGGCTTACTTACGCAGGCCTGCACCCAGCAAGGCCAGTCAGTGACTTCAGGAGATCAGCAACAACAGAGAAACGTGGCAAAACACCCACACTGCAACCTGCCACTTGTCAGTCCTTCAACACCTCCACAGCATAAGGTGTTTCTGCACAAATATTTGCAGCACAATGTATTTAGTTGTACTAAGTATAGAAGATGCTGGATACTAACAGGTACATGCTGCGCCAGGTTCCCAGCTGTTTATAGCTAGGCGTGGATGAATGAAGAACCGGAGGAGGGGAGGCAGGCCGTCCATACAACCAAGTGATTCCGGAAACAAAAGACTGTCCACCTGCCATGTAGCACGTCCCATAGTGTAATGGTTAGCGAGTTCACCCCGCAAGCAAGAGGACCTGGGTTGGAATCCCGGGTGGGGCGAAACCTTTAGCAAATCCATTTTACGATATGTTCTGTGAAGCGCTTTGAGACGTCTCGACGAAATGATAAGGCGCTATATCAAATACAGGTATGTGAGACGCACAGGTAGGGAGAAATCAAAACGTATGGTGGGGGGGGGCGGGGGCCGGGGCTGGGGGGCGGTGGTGGGGCATTGCACACAGTTGCACGAATGTCTCCTGATGTGGTGCCAGCCCAGGACGCAATGCCACCTTCCGCCTCACATCCTGACACGACTGAGGTCAGGCTGGTCACACGACAGGTGCCAACGAGAAGATGCCAGTCACCCTCATTAATTTTCAATTTGGTGCAAACACTTGACTTCACTCCGACAAAGAAACCCATCAAATCAATATCCAATTATTTCATAAACCCGGGCCCCCTGGTTGCTCGAGCGGCAGCAACTTAAAGTGACAGAGGCCCTTCTGTTCAGCCTCCACCGCCGTGAGATCAGCGGCTGTGCGGGTTTAACCCCTTCCTTGCTCACTGCCCTCCTCCCTCTGCGACCAGGATCCCTTTTCAACAATGACGACAAATTCCATTTGTTTAGTGCATCAGGAGGACATCCCAAGGGACTGGACAGTCAGGGATCTGCACGTGAGCTGGGGGTTGGGATCAGGAGTGGTGGAAGGCAGGGAGGGTGACGAGGAGGGTCTTGAGACACGTCTTGAAGGAGGCGAGAGGACTGTAGGATGGAGTTCCAGAGAGTGGGGGCAGAGAGGCTGAAGGCCTGATCACTGACGGTGGTCTTTTCAGATTCCAGAGGCCACCAGCTGCATGATGAGGAACCCCAACAGGCTGCACATTATTAACCTCTGTTACCTTGCCTGGCCGGCCTCTCAAATCACTAAACAGTCATCTCTCCCTACTAGTTGAGAGCCGCGTTTCACTCACAAAAATACAGCGCCCTGAGACGTCTCAACGGCGCGATATCAAATGCAAAGATTATATATTCTATTCTATATCTCTACCCCTCCTGATCCCAAGTCCCTGCTCGGGTCCAAATCCTTGACTGTCCAGCGCCTTGGGATGTCCTCCCAACTTGGAAAGCGCTACACAAATAATATGGAGCCTTATTACTGGTTGTCGAGAGCTGACCCAAAGCTGCAGTAGTTTTGCAAAGTCTGAGCTTTGAGTCCACGAGGAATAAAGAAAGCCGGGAAGCTTTGTTCCTGCAGTGTTTAAAGACAGAGATGCAGTATGTGCTCAGATTGCTCAGGTCCCCTGTAACTAGCTCCAGGTTAGAGCTGAGATGAAGCTTGTTATGTACAAGAGTCAGCTGGAGGCACCCAGATTCTCTTGAATCTCTGCATCTAATGATCACTGACAGTACATGACTGGCCCCCTACCTTGACGCTTTCTGATCCAAAACACTCTTTTTATGAACTGGACCTTGACAGATGTGCTTAATCACTAACTTGTGCTTCTGCTAAACCCGATGTACTTTCAAACCCCACAGATGGGGTTTCAAATGCAGATCAGCACGTCACCGAGCACGACAATCTGCGGGAGATTACAGGCTAGAAGGGAATGAGGATAAGAAGTTTTGTTGCATCTTTTACCTCCCAGCTCATATCCCTGAGATGCTCCTTTTACCATCCACCTTCTTGTTGTGTTGAGCGGCTTTGTTACCCTGTGTCAGGGTCTCTGCAACGCTTACGATCTCGCTAACGGCAGCTCCACACTGGAGCGCTGGTCTGACTTGGGGAGTCCATTCTGTACGCATGTGCCATTGTGTGCTGCAGTATGCACCAACACACACACACGTGCCAATTCACATACAGCGGTCACCGCTGAATGGTGTGGCTCAGCCTACAATGTGCCACAGATGCTGTGCTCACTGATTATTCACAGTCGAGCTGCTCAGTGGAGTGGGAATAATGTTACCATCTCACATTGTTCCTGATAATCCTGGCTCCTCACTTCGCCTTTCGCACTTACCAGAATGACATTGTGTGGCAATCGTTTATAATGGAAATTACCTGAACCACACATGAAATTACCTGAACCGCACATGAAGAGATCAAAGCCGTATCTTACTCAGTCTCTACACAGAGTTTGGGAGAAACACAGAGAGCGAGAGAGAGAGAGAGAGGGAGAGAGAGGGACAATGAGAAAGACAAGGACAGAGAGAGGGAGAGGAAAATTTCACTCGTGACGTTCCAAACCAGATAGATTCTGAGCAACTTTGCCTCTTTCGGCTTAAGTTCAAGTTGAAGCTTATTGGCTGTGACATTGAGCACAGTGACCTGTGAGAGGCATTTGTCTGGGACAATTCAGCGTCACAGCCCATATTTGGCAAACTGACTGGCTCCAGGGACTTAATAATAATCCTTGCATTTGATATAGAGCCTTCAAGACGTTGGAAAGCGCTTCACAGAATATACTGTAAAGTGAATTGACTGCATATTTTGTGGGTGAAACCCAGCAGGCAATTGCGCACAGCAGTGTCCCAACCGGGTTCAAACTTACTGCTAGGTAAACAGAGGCACGCGGAATAAGGAAACTTGTCCAAGGTTTCACCCGGCCCGGGAATCGAACCCAGGTCCTCTTGCTCGCTCTAACCACTATGCTACAAGACTCCATGCTCTGACTTGTGTGGGAGCATGACAGAGACGAGACACTCACCAGCAGCACTGCGGAGGATCCATTTGGCCTCGAGAGGCTGATGGACATGTCGGGAAACATCCTGTCAATCCGCGCAATCACATCGTCCACGTACCTGCAAAGTAAACACACAGCGGCCAGCTCAGTAACAAGTCAAGTCCAGAGAGAGAGAGTGCGCATTCCATTCCAACAATGTATCTCTGGAATTTCAACAACAACAACTTGCATTTATATAGCTCCCTTCTCGCGGGGTGGAATCCCGGAGCGCTTATTTCCATGTGTGTAGGTGGGATGCATGGAATTCTCAGTTTGGTTTGGATACCTTAAGCACTTTGATGGGTTTCCGCATGTGTCAGACACCCGGCTGAGCAAAACAAAAAAAAGTTTTAGTCAAGTTACCAAACACAACGAATCCTTCTCTCACCACAAACACAGGGACCTACAGGACCCCGAGAAGCCCACTGTGGTCCTTATGTGTTCCTCAACGACTGACTCTGGAGGGCGACTGCCCCATCGCCAGCGGCCACTCTTAGACCCACTTTATACTTGTAGAAAAGAATTTCATAGGAACATAAGAACAGGAGGAGACCATTCAGCCCCTCAAGCCTTTTCCACCATTCTATAAAAAATCATTACTGATCTGTACCTCAACTCCAATTACCCACTCTTGCCCCATATCCCTTGATACCCTGACCTAACAAACATGTATTCACCTCATTCTTGAAAATTAGAATGGATCCAGCATCCACAGCCTTTGGGAGGGGGGGGGGGGGGAGGAGAGTTCCAGATTCCCATTACCTTTGGGTAAAAAAACTGCCTCCTTATTTCACTCCTAAATGGCCTAGCTCTAAGTTTAAGATGATGCCGCCTTGTTCTGGATTCCCCCACCAGAGGCAATAGTTTCTCTGTAACTACCCTGTTGAATCCCTTGGGCACACGCAACGACTGTTAATCACAGGGAAGGACGAGCTGACCTGTTTCCAACAGGATCATTTTTATAATAGGCACATGGAACGTACAGTGTTTAAAATAAAACACAGTGATCAAAATCTAGATCAGTACCAAAGGACATGAGAGCACGAGCCCTGGGACTGCCACTCCTAGTCATGAAGGATGCTTCTTAATACACTGGCTCACTTGCCTCTTCTTGGGCTGGGCTGTATTTGTACCCAGTTCTCAGAGGTGAAGGTGAACCTCGGTCGAAACACTTGTGTGGAGTCCTGTAGCATCGTGGTTAGAGCGCTTACCTCGCACGTGAGAGGACCCAGGTTGGATTCCTGGGAGGGATGAAACCTTAGGCAAGTTTCCTTACTCCACACGCCACTGTTTACCTAGCAGTAAGTAGGAACTCGGTTGTCAGTCCATTGGCGGGTTCACTTTCCGGGAATAATAATAAATGAATAAATAAATTTGGTCACTCAATCAACAACTGTTTTTGAAACACTACTGTACGTAATTGGCTGCCACGTTTCACCCAAAAAATATACAGTTAATCCACTTTATAATATATTCTGTATATATATTAAAACGCCACATTTCCCCCTAACTTCCCCTCTTATGTTGCTAATAGTAAGTGTAAGACAGCTGCTGTTTGCTGCTACAGAAAGTTTGTCACTTCACCTGCACAGAATATTTATTGCAAGTGTCTGAGCTGATTTTTAGTGGTGCTATAGAAAGCAAGGTTAATTGATGGATTTGTTCAAAGGGTGAACTTCCTAAATTAGTTACCTGCAGACTTTCCCCGGTCTGCAGCTATTTCAGACATTACCGACTTGTCTTCATCTCATCACCGCTGCTGGCTTCTTCAATCTCAATCCCCAAACTGATCAATCACTCTCCAGAGAGCAGATCTCACTCACATTGCTGCTTACTCGGTCCCTCGCGCTCACACACAATCACCTTTCGTTGAGTTTGCCCCTTGTTGCATTTCAAAAGAAAACCCAATAAATAAATCAAGAGCTTAATCCACTTGTCGAGCAGTCTAGGCTTTAAGTTGCCAGGCATTTCTGCATCACCGTATTCAGAACTGAGGAGCAGACAATGCAAAGGAGACTTAGTATTACACAAACCGTATCAACAGAATCCTCAAACTCATGACAGGCCTATGAAAGTGCGCAGACTACAAAAATGAGAACCATCAGATAGAACATCTTGAAGGAACTCTTTCTCTCCCTGTCCCCCCCAAGGGATAATCTTTCACAATCTCTCCTCTCAAAACCTTTCGGGAATTTGAAGGTCTCGGCTTTGTGTGTGTTTGTGTCTGTGTGTGAGAGGGAGACTTTCCTTCAGTACATGCATCAGAAACACTAGTACAATCTGGTATCAAACTGCCTTGTCTCTACATCCATCTGAATCGGACTGTCAGAAATGACATAGGTTAATACAGGCTTAAATAATCTGCTGTTCACAGATCTTATGTAACCCTCTGAAAACCTCGAGACAGACAGTGCGATAATAAAGGGAGAATTAGCTTTCTACACCACCGTGTAATAAGTGCAATAGCAGTGCTTGGGGGTAAGTGGAGAGTCAAAGGCGAGGGTGTGAGTTCCACCTTCTCACGTCTTGGGACCAAGGTTTGAATGCAGAACGGATGGGACATGATGTGATGGGCTCCAATTGAGATGCACGGCATTTCCTGTGTGTGTATGTGTGTGTGTGCGTTTGTGTCTGGCTGCGAATGTGGCTCTGTTACTCCGTTGAGAGACAGGACAAATGCAAATGAGGCGAGAGCCAGTGGAAGGAAGAGAGTGGGGAAAGGAAAACGAGGTCATGTGTTAGACCAGTGGTGGCCAGGCTCTTTGGCCAGTTGGCCAACAAAATAAATGTTTCTTCATTGAATGTTTCTGGATTTATGGCATAAATCTATGCTATTTTGTTATTTGCTATGATATCCTGTGAAGCGCTTTGAGACGTCTCGAAGACGTGATAAGGCGCTACATCAAATGCAAGGATTAATACTATTATCTTGTTGGCCTACCAGAAAGATACCACTACTCCTCACTCCCGGCATCCTTTGGCAGGGTCGGCCCCTAAAGGCTTCCATCTCTTTCACAGTGGTCTGTGATTCGGGTAACATGCACGAAACTGAGGCAACTAATGAAAGCCTGGGGGTGGGGGTGGGGGGGTTGTGTGGGGAGCGGAGGGAAGGGAGAGGGAGAAGAGAGGAGGGGGAAACATCGCTCACCGATGGATGTTCTCCTCGCCTTGTCCTTCAGCGCAGGATCTGGAATGTAATCACTGGAAAAAACATCACAAAGTGTTGCTAAAAATGTGCTGCTGGTGTGAACCAGAAACACTGCGGAGCTGGCAAGTCATTAATAGGTGTCGGCATAACATTGCCACACGCATGCGCGCGGGCAGACACACGCACACAAAATACTGGCATGTGACTCGGGCTGAGAGCTGTGCGGGCAATGAAGTGCGGGGAAAGTTACTGAGTGCCCAGGGGACTAGAGTGTGGACAAGTGTCTATGCAGGAATGGAGGAGAGGGGTAAGAGTTAGGGAGACGAGAGGCCCCAGCGGGCACTGAGGCTGTTAATAGGAGACTGGACAGCAGATTTGGGTGCAAAGCACAGAAGCGACACAGTTACAGAGCTTGTTAAACATAAGCTGACTGGCACTTGGTATCCACAAGGGACAGGCTTCACAGGGTGTGAGGCATCATTAGCAACTTCCATTTAAACTGCTTCACAAAAGCTTCCCTTTGATCAGCATTCACTACTGGTCCTACCCACGCGTGGCTAAGTAATCATAATGACACAGCTCTGCTCTTTACCAACTAATTAAGTTAACAATCACCCTCCATCTCAGATTTAGTAATAGCTGGCTAAACTGCAGTCCATCTTTCTAATATTAATAATCCAGATATTTGACATAGCACTTTTCATGTCGGGAGGATCTCTCAAAGCGCTTCACAAGACATAATAATAATAATAATAATGAATCTTGCGTTTGATAAAGCTCCTCATCACGTCATCGAAACGTCTCAAAGCGCCACACAGAACATAAGTAAACTGACTGTGTATTTTGTGGGAGAAACACGACATACAGCAACGCCCCACAAACAGTCATGAAGTGAATGACCGATTTTAACTGGGGAAATTGTTGGCCAGAACATTGGGAGAGAGAAACTCCCTTCGTTTTTTTCCCCCCTCCAATTGTTTCACGGGATCTTCATGGCAGGCGACCCTGTTCACTTCCTGCAATAATAAATTGGTCAACTCGATTCGCGACTGTTTGTGGGACGCTGTTGTGCGGAATTGGCTGCCGCATTTCGTCCACAAAGTAGAGTCAATTCTGCAAAGCACTTTGAGACATCTCGAAGACATGATAAGGCGGTATATATAATGCAAGAATTATTATTCATATTATTATGTCAGCACTTGAATCATTCGCCCCACATCACTAGCACACCAGAGGCCTGAAAGTAGTGCCTCCTACACTCAGTTACATACACTTGGTTTGCGCTGTCACAGACTAGGTGTGCAACAAACAATATCCTAGCAGGTTCTGAAGGGGTTAAAAAAAAATGTTTCGACCTGTAATAAAAATGTCCTTGAGCCAGACGCAAAATGCTCTTGAGATGCCGGCAAGATGGATCGGTTTGTGGACGGTGGATTTGTATTGCCGGGACACTTTCAGTGACTGGATCCTAATCACACCTCAATCGCCTCCCTCTCCATCTTCCTCAGTGACAGCGATCCATTGCACTCGCTGGGCAGAGCAGCGAGTGGCAGACACCAACACACACCCCCACCCCACATACACACACACTACCACCACCATCACAACACACTTGAAATCAGATTTACCCTTAATCAGCTCGTCTGCTTACTCGATGTCCTTGCACACCTCCATTGATACCAGAGTTGTCCCAGACTCGCTATGTTTATCAGGGCCACAGTGTTAAAGAGGACCTAGAGCACCACCCTAGGCAATGTCACTGCTTCTTGTCCATCCAATGCTCAACTATCATTCCCATCTCAGCAGAGTGGCATCTCTCCTCACATTCCCCATAGCTCAGAGTTTCACAGCTAGATTCACGTCTGCTAACCTCTGAATACAGGAATCTCCGCATGGAGATGGGAAGCGATTCTTCCACAAATATAAAGTCG